GTTTACTGAGCCTTGCAACTCTTGAGGCGTCCTTTAAATAGCTTTTCGAAAGCTAAACGTCACCGCTACACTCGTCAAACCGCTACCCCGCTACACCGCTACATACCAAGGGGAGGAGCCAAACGCCGTGGGAGGGGAAAGGAGGAGGAGCTTCGTGCAAAGGAGGCGTGTCTGACCTCCCATTGGTGCGGAGATCCGGGAGGATCGTAAGAGAGAACAGGGGAAGGAAATAATGACAAACGACAATAAAATTTAAGAAGACGCGAGTGTCAAGGCTGTCGAGATGTTTGTCTTTATTTTCATTTCTGATTTTAGTTATTGGTGTTTCTTATTTTCTTACTTTATGTTTTAATTACTGGCATTATCATTATTCTCACAATAATGCAAATGATGATGATAATCCTCATCATTACTATTGTATCATTATCAGTCATTATAATTTTTATTATTATTATCATCATTATTATTGGTATTTTTTATCATTGTTATTATCATTATTATCATTATCATTATTATTATTATTATTATTATTATTATTATTATTATTATTATTATTATATTATTATCACCATCATTTTTACCATTATCATCGTTATCATCATCATCTTCATCATGATACTAATAACAGGGATAATAATTGTTATCATGATTATTATTACTGATGATGATAATAATGATAACAGATATAATACTATTGATGTTATTGTTGCTATTATTTTCATTATTAGTATCAGTATTAGAATCATTATTATCATTGTTATCACTATTAATATTATTATTATTATTATTATTATTATCATTATTATTATCATTATCGTTTTAGTTTTTTTTCTTATTGCTATCATTATTATCATTTTCATGATTATTATCATTATCATTACTATCATTTTCATGGAATCATCCTTATCATTATTATCATTTTCATGATTATTATCATTATCATTATTATCATTTTCATGATTATCATCATTATCATTCTTGTCATTTTCATGATTATTATCATTATCCTTACCATATTGATATCATTATTACCATTGTTGTTGTTATTATTATCATTCTCATTATTATCATTCTCATTATTATCTTTGGTATCAATATTATTGTTATTATTTTTTTCTTATCATTATCATTATTATTGATACATTTTGATAATAATACTGATGATACCAACAATAATGACGACAATGATAATAATAATAGTAATGATAATGATGATAATAACAATGGGGATAGTGATAATGATAATAATGATAATAATAATAACAAATTATTTATATTATCATTCCTGTTATTATCATCATAAGATCATCATTATCATTGTCCTGATTATCATCATTACCAGTGATGTCATTATCATTATGTTAACTTTATGTCATTATTATTAGTCGTAGCAGCAATAGTTCAATAGCAGTAGTATTACTATCATCACTTTTGCTATTACTATTACTGTGTTGATTATCATTATCATAGTTATCATCGTCATCATTTTTGCTATCGATATCACTATATCATCATCAATAGCAAATATAGCCGCAACGATATCGTTATCAGTACTACTACTTTTACTACAATATTTGTACTACTGCTGCTTCTATTACTGCTATTGTGATTATACCATCATTTTATAAAACGCAATAGACTATAATTTTCATTATCGTCATTATCATGATTATAAGACGAAGAATGATAACAGATACGGTAATGGAATGATAGTTGTTATCATCACTCTTATTCGACATTTTATCATTATTACTATTGTTTCATTGCCCTTATCATTAGAGTTTTTTGTCATCAATATTTCTGTTACTGTCCATTGTTGATCTAATGTTCCGTCATCATATATGTTATCATTATTAATAGTGATATAATTATCAGCATCATATTCATTATCAGCGTTTTTATTTCTACTATAGATATATTCTTCTCATTCTCAGCATTGTTAGTATCAATGTTCTTACCATTTCTTTCATAATTATCTTCTTCGTTATTATCACTACTACAGCTAGTATGACTAGTATTATTAGAAGTCGTTATCATTGCTAAAGCTATCATCGATTTCTCTATTGATATTACAATCATCATTACTGTTATTAATATCATTATCATTAGCAACTAAACCATTAGTATAGTAGCAGCTGTAGCATCATTGCCAATGTTTATTTATTTGTTTATTTTTTATTTATCTATTCATTTATTTTAATAATCAGGTGTATCAGCTGTTACTATCAGCGTTATCATCATTTTTATTGCTATTATCAATATCTCTACAATAACCCCATTGATAAAATAACAGTAGTAACAGTAGAAATGTCGTCATTGTTGCCATCATCATCATCGTCTCTTGTTCCTGTGATTACCATCATCAACTGCCCATTATCGTCATCATCATTAGCAATTAGCGATCGAAGTGCCAGGACTTGGTGACATCATCAAATCTATTACCATTATTATTATCTTATATATTTTAAAAAATTCTTTATTATCTCCATTATGCTTTGGGTGAAAAGAAGAGTAAGAATAATAATAATGATAAAACAGGAAAGACTGGAAATGAAAGTGAAGATGACTAGACAATCAGAAAAGACACGATAACGAGAAATTGCCGGTCAAGTTCACGAGAGAAAAGAATCAAGAAGAAAAAGAGAAAGAAGGAAAGAAAAGAAAACGAGGAAACACAATTGAAAAAAGGAGAAGGGAAAAAAACGATAGAAAATGGATAACGGGAAAAAGCGAGAAAGAAAACGGAGGAAAAAATGTTGCCAAGTCAGCGTTCGATGTGTGATTTCAAGAGCAATCGGCGCTCGTGAAAAGCAGCGAACAAAAAAGAACAGAAAGGAATCTTAATGTTGGAAAAAACGGAGGAAAAAGTATGGGTTTGCATGGAATAAAAAAAAGAGAAACTGTGTTAACGGAACTGAAAAATAAATAAAATGATAAAGTAAAAGTTGCAGTTGCTACAAATGCCAATTTCCCCCCTTAATGCCACTGCGTTTGCCGCGTTTGGTTCGCTACTTTTACTGCTGCTGTTGCTACGCCCGCTGCTGCTCCTCCTGCTGTGAAATGGCTCTGCTGTGGATTGCACCACAATTTCGCATTTGCCTTCACTCCCGTTGTTAAAGGCCAGCTGAGGTATAGATGTGACAGAACGAATCGGGTAAATGAAAGCAACTGCAAACACACACATACATACAGACATGCACACACACACGCACATGCACAGACAGAAACAACCACATACCCACACACACATACACATAAACAAACAATCAAGGCAAACAAACACATGCACAGACATACGCCTATCCACCAGCAGTCCCCATCCCTCACCCCCCCCCCCCCAGGCCTCCTCCGCCCTACCCCTACCCTCCTGCTGGCCCATCCGCCTACCTGCTCTCGGTCAATCACACCATCTGCTAGTAGACCCTGCTACACCCATGATCAATGGGGGGGGGGAGGTTTTGCAACGAAAGCATTGCTAAATTGCGATCTTTCTTTTTATATCTTTAGGTTTTCTCTCGTCGCATGCAGGTACATCGTCTTTTTCTAGAAATACTCTTTTCTCTCCTTCTCTCTCTCCCCCCCCTCTCTCTCTCTCCCTCTCCCCTCTCTCTCTCTCTCTGCTCTCTCTCTCCCCCCCTCTCTCTCTTCTCTCTCTCTCTCTCTCTCCCCCCCCTTCTCTCTCTCTCGAGCAAGTAAGAGTGAGAGGAGGGGGGGATGAAAGTAAAAGTCCAAACTAAGTAAAGGAAGCTATGTAATGTATGCGCACGTGTTCCCTCATTTTCATGTTTTTTTAACTTGTCTGTGTAAACGTATGGTACTTGTATGTCTTTCTTCATGTGCGGGCTAATGTATAGGTTTACGTGTGTGTGTTTGTATGTACGTACGATATGCGCCCGTTCCTTTATTGAAGTGATATGATATGTAAATATGTTTCTGTGTGCATGCGTGTGCGTATTTTGCGTTTATGTGTATACAGTATGTATCCGTGTCAGTGACTGTGAGTTTGTTTGATGCATACATGTGCTGATGTGTGTTCTTTGCGTGGACGCGTTTGCACAAGACTGGAAGTTATGATGTCAGCGTCGGCTCGAAGGGTTGACAAGGTCTTGAGGATAATCTCCTTGTTGAGAAGATTCTGGCGTCGGCTCCTTCGAGATCTCACGCTGGGTGTCGAGTCTCGGTCCAGCTGATTTTTTTTTTTTTTTATACAATGTGGTTATTGTACTTCTTTCTTTTATTTACATTTTCTTGTCTTTCTTCTTCGTCTCTCTTTCTTTATTTTCTTGATATTTTTTTATAGAAATAATGATGTTAAAGTATGTGTCGGGAGCTGCATGACAAATCTTTAGAAAATGTACTTGACATTCGTATGGAATAAGAAAAACCGAAGTTCCAGTTTTTGTATCGTTTGATGGACATTACTTTTCCAGTATATTGGACGACTCAACAAACTTTTTTTTTCTTCTTTTTTTAATAATTGGATTAGAAAACAGATCCGCTTTGCAACGCGAAGATGCAAGATTCCGCATCACTAAATCACGTGTAATGCGTACGTGTCCAACATCGCGGAGTCATGCACATGATCTCAGGCACATATGATCTTTTCTCTCTGTTGCTCTTGATTTTTTTTATATTTGTCTATTTCTTTATTCAATTCTATTTCGACCTACATTATCTTTCTCTCTCTTTTCTTTCTCCTTTCTCCCATCTCTCCCTCCATCCTTCTCCCTTCCCTTTCATTTACTCGGTCATCTCCTCTCTCTCTCTCTTCTTCTCTCTCTCTCTCTCTCTCTCTCTCTCTCTCTCTTTCTCTCTCTCTCTCTCTCTCTCTTCTCTCTCTCTCTCTGTCTCCTCCCCCCCTTCTCTCCCTTCTCCTTTTACTGTTTCTTCCGTATACATAAATTATACATTTATACTACGCATACAAAAATACAACACATACCAACAAAACACATCGAACAAACAAACACACATACGTAAGAAAAATAAAAAACAAAATA